CTAAAAATCCCTACAGATACCCCAAAAATGGCCATTCAGATGACCAGGAAATAATAGAATGCCATTCTGGGTAGCTAAGTACCACTGAAACACCTGGCAAATAGAAGAACAGCTGGTCCATTGTGTGACCTGGAACTTGTGTTGGTGCACTGGCACTTTGTATGATAATTATAACAGACATTGGAGCTTATGCTTCAGAATTGGGGATGCAGATACCCATTAAACTGACTCAAGAAGAAGGAAAAGGAATTGGAGGGGGGGGAAACAAAAACTGAAAACCTATGGCTTTTTACTCTGGTGTGCAGCTATCATGACACATTTCCTCTTTAGCTGTGGTGATTGGATTGAATTGAATAACAGTTCTTTTAGAGAGAGAGAATTTCCCTTCTGCAGAACACATGACAGTTAGGCCTGGATTTCAAAGTCAACTAATTTTTGTGGATGTTCAGATCTTGTTGCAGCTCCTGTTCCTAAAAGGAGAATTGATTGTCTAAATAGAGGAGGGAAAGCTGTCCTATTAAACCTGGGTCACTATGCAGAAAAGAAAGCAAATTCATGGGGTCAGTAAGAATAAAAGCAGGACACAGCTGCAAGGCCTCAAGGTTAATCCTGGATTCCTGAGTTTTAGTCCTGGTTTAGATAGCTAAGTCCTTTTTTTGATGTTCTGGCTCAAAGTTTTATTTCTTTCAATAAGATTTAACCACCTAATCTAATTAAATAATTCTGAATATACAATATAAATTGTTTATCTACTTAACTCTATCTTTATATAGAAAGATAATGTAACTATGCATGGTATAGTACTAATGAATTATTGCAAATACATAATGCAGAATTTCATAAATCAGAACCCGTAAAATGACTTTGGAGCACCAGTCCAAGGGGCACTTTGAAAAATGCCATTCTATTGATTCTTACCTACCCTTTTGGTTAACCAAGATCACCCTTTGTTGATTTACACAAAGCCATAACAACATGCCAGAAGCACTCAACTACTAATAAACAATTTCAAGCACAACTATGATTTTCAAATCCTAGAAAACTAAATAAAACTAGTATTTCTTATATGAGTCCACATGTTATCCCAAGAATTGTATAGGGAATGTATTTATTTATGTATTTGTTTGTTAAAATGAAAGAAAGGAAAATACTTATTTGCCCAATAGCCTGGAAACACAACATTTCTACCCAACTGCGGTGAGAAGTTCTTTACCTACATTTTGAAGCCTGAAGAAGTTATCATTGATTCCAAAATATCCGTGTAATGATGAAGCCAGTTGTCTCCGTTTCCTCCTTTTTTTTTTTTTACTCTCTACATGTTCCAGGATACCATCTCTGATTAATATTCTGATATTAAGTAGAAAAGCAAGAAACAAAACTAAAAAAAAGCAGAGTCCCAAACACTTGGCTGTGGTCTTTAAGAGTCTAAAAAGTGGCAGGGAGGTCAATAGTTAAACTCCTGCTTACTTCCTTGCAGTTCCACCACATACATTTGAATCATCCTCTAAACTACATGGTAGCACCTGGCATCAAACTCTTACTAGACAAATATGCCACATACACCTCTATTTACCTGTTCAATTATATGTGACTGATCACAAATTTCTTCAAGCCCAGTCTTACAATGAGATGGCATTTATGTCTAGGAATAAGATTAAGATGATGTCAGTAGTAAGAGCTATATGACTGACCTCAGTGAGACTGAAAGCACAGTCCTAGTAATATTCACTTGTTGAAAATGTCAGTAAATGCATTTTGCAATGGGACACAGAAGGCCTCTTGCTCAACAGAGCCCTATGTCTCCTGAGTACACTTGTTAGCATACTAATTACAGTTGCATTTGTTAGATGTCCCTTCCTATCCATCTCCAACTACTCTTTCTATCTTGATTTCTCCCCTTTGAAGTTAACAGGAGACCTTTCCCTCCTCCTCTTATGTTTGCTCTTTCTATAGTTATGACTCGATTTCTGACTCCATACCTATTCATTTATTTTTAAAATGCATAAAGTAGACTACCACCAGAATTTAACTTAATTTCATGTAATACTGTATCCAGTGAAAGTACAGTAGAATAAACCTGGGTTTCTTTTTAGTATGTATTAAGTTCTGAGAGTGAGATCACACAAGTATTTAGGCTCTAAATTAGAATTGAAGTGGAATATAGGTGCCTAATGCTGAGGCAGGGATTTGCATATGGAAATCTATGTAGGCCACAGAATTGTAGAAAATTAAGGTTGGAAGGGAACTCAAGAGGTCACATAGTCCAACCCTCTGCGCAGAACAGGACCATCCCCAACTATCTCATCCCAGCCCATGTTGGGGATCCACTGCTCGAGGGACCTAAGTTTTCTTACAAAAAATTATTGGGTGTCTAAAATTCAGCTTCTTCTCATGACCAGAAGAGACATGATAATAGTGGCTAAGACAGGAGGAATTAGGGTGGAATTCTATTCCCCTGTGGTCACTGAAGTAGTTTTTTGGTCAGTTAAGGCATTTTTGGCTCTTAACACTGGTAGCCATTCTACTTCTCATCCATGTGGAAGTACAGTATGCGCATCCACATCCATGTACGGACTGGGAATGCACAGTAGGCTCTATACTAGCTTCACACATGCCCAGCCAAACATGTGTACCTTTTCTGGATGTGTAGCAGGATCCAAGACCCCAAAATATAGTCAGCCCTAAACCAGCCACTGTCAGAATGAAGAGGAGGGCCTTTCCATGTTTTAGCAACAAGTGCATCTAAGTCAACTTGTGTAGGTGCTGAAGCTACATTCCCGTACAGCACTTCTTTAAAACCTTAGCTTTTGGAAGCTGTGAGGGGAGATTTGTGGGGCCAGGAAGAATGCCACATAACAGAGGGTGTGTTGTTCAGGCACATGGCTGCTGCTCTGAAAAGGAGGGGCCCTTGGTTCCAGCTCAGAGTGAGAAACTTTCTTCCTGCACTGCTCGCCATCCCTTTTGTACCCCCAAATGACTATATAAAATGCAACTGGAGGATGCTCAGCTTTCACAGGAATGATGGAGAGAGACTTGAATATTGTCTGGTCTGTGACGTGGTGGTTTGAGGAACATCAGAAAGATTCAGGTTCAAACCTAATGTGTGAAATGATGGTGGGAGTCCCCATCTATGATTAGTTTCATAGTTGGTAGGGTCAGAAGGGACCAGAGCCGATCATCAAGTCTGACCCCCTGCCATGGGCAGGAAAAGATGCTGGGATCAAACAACCCCAGCAAGGTGTCTATCTAGCCTCCTTTTGAAGACCCCCAGGGTAGGAGGGAGCACCACTTCCCTTGGAAGTTGGTTCCAGATCCTAGCTGCCCTCTGAAGTAGCACCTCCTGATATCTAGCCTGAATCTACTCTGTCAACTTATGGTCGTTATTCCTTGTTACTCCCGGTACTCCCAGTAGTGCTCTGAGGAACAGGGACTCTCTCATTGCCTGGTGGTCCCCCTTGGCCAGTACACTAGATGCTTAACTTTTGTAGTTAAGAAATGGGGCAGCCCTTGTGCACCTACCTCCTGTTGCTGCTAGAGGAACAGGGACTCTCTCATTGCCTGGTGGTCCCCCTTGGCCAGTACACTAGATGCTTAACTTTTGTAGTTAAGAAATGGGGCAGCCCTTGTGCACCTACCTCCTGTTGCTGCTAGTACAGACATAAAAAGTCATTTACATGTATAGGGTAATGCATCCAGGATTACAATCTCTACCCATGTGTAAATGCCAAATATGCCATGTAGATCACTAGAAAGCAATATAGATCCACTCCTAGATACCTATTTCCCACTTAAGGCCCTACAGAGTTTGCAAAATTACCACATATCTGGGTTTTTTGGTGGGTTTTTTGTTTTTTTTTAAAGCCTTCCTCAAAAGTATTGGGTGGTGGCTGCAGCCATGGTTGGGGGTTTTGATGTGGGTGTGCCCGTGCTACTGCTGGGACTGAAACCTTGAGGTTCCTGGCTAGAAGGTCTTGCCCCTCTGCTCATCGTCAGACTGTCAGGTTTGACCTAGAAACCACTATACAAAGCCCAAGCAAAAGTCTCTGTTATGTAACTAATGCCCATCTGCAATGATAAGGAGGAGACAGTCTTAGATAAAGGAGGCTTGAAAACAAAAGCAGAATCAGAGGACTAGGGCAAAGAGCTAATTTAAATATTAAAAATCACACCCCTAGGTGGGGAGAAAGTATGCTAATGAAACATACATGTATGTAAATGAGATACATAGCTAAAACACAGGTATAGAGACATGCTCAGTAAAGAACTCCTTGCGTCACTCCCTTATAACCAATTAGCAAACAAGAATGCTTATGAAGGTCCAATACTCCTGTATAAAAGATGCTTAGAATTAAGAATCTGTGTGCTTGTTACGTGAAATTATTCCGCTTGCACCTTGTATTGCTAGCAATAAATCTTCTTTATACTTTCACCCCTGGTATCTTTATTGGCTTTTGCATACCGGGCACGATCCCAGACTTGAGCTGGGGCTCAATAAGACCAATCACCACATTTGAAGTCAGGAGGAAGTTTCACACCATGGTAGAATGGTACAGGCTGTGGGGAAGTTTGCCTTCCTCTGTGGTAGGGGGTGTGGACATCTTCATGGGATCTCACAAGCATACTTTAACAACCTTTGTAGCAGCAGGATGTTGGCTGCTATGCTTCCCCCTGCTTTTCTTGTGGCAGTTTATGGTGTTATGTCATGTGGTTGTGCCAGGATTGATTGTGTAGTTTTGCTAATAAGTTAGACAATAGAGTTGGGTAGGTTGGTTTTGGGTAATAATAATCTTGCCTCAGGCGGGGGTGGGGGGGAGGACTAGATGACCTCTGGTATTCCCTACCAGCCCTACTTCCTTTGCTTCTATGTTTCTATGACTTTTGGGGAAAAGGGTCCGTGATGGATTCCTCAGAAGAGCATTTGCTTGGGATCCCAAGCATTGTATAGTCTCTTGGAGAAACTCCTGAAGCCAGCCCAGGTGTAACTCCTACAGTGGGTGATCCCCCTGGCTCCCTGGAATCTGCAACCCCATGTTTTGATCCCAGAACCATCATCCTTGTCCCAGTCATTTGTGGAATCTTGCTTCTGGATAGAGTCTCCTTCTTCCAGGGGATGGAGTGCACCTCAAGTCGCAGGGAGCTCTTAAAAAACCCCCAAAAGACACATTTATTATTCAAGAGCAGTACAGAAAGCAAAGTCCTTGGCCTTAGGTATTAATGCCTAAGCCTGCTTCCAAGCAGACTCTGTCTTCAGTAAACAGCCCTTTCTGTTCTCTCAGATGACACAGGATATCGCTACTTCTTAAGATATTTTGACATTCCCATCCTTCATCATTGTTCTCCCTAGTATTTCAGAAAACTTGACTCGAACTTAGCATTCTTGTACAACATTCCTCGCTCTACCAGTGCTTCACCGTGTGGCTCTGAATATATATTTGGTCTTAGTTTTATATTTCTACACAACCGTTTTCCTTCCTGCAGTTTCTCTCTTGTATTTAAATTGTCAGCTCTTTAAGAGAGGAAACTAAATTTCCTGTGGCTTGATGCCCAGGCATTAGGGTTATACTCTTTGCTGTATAGTAGAAACAAACCATGCTTCAATATTAGGAAGAAATCATAATTCCTTGCTGAAGATTGTAAACAATTTCTTGGGCTTGGATTTGAAGTATTCTCTAAATAAAAATGCTTCTATGGTTTCAGATCTCTACAGTTCCATTTTGGTATGTCCTAGGAAGGGAACCCTTACTTATTACACACAGTGATTTACCTAGGTTAACTTTTGAAAATATTCAAACACATTCATATTTGCAGGGATATGAAGAGATAAAACCTAATTACCTATTTGTCTGTCTACTTTGACTTCCTTCCTTGGAACTGACTACCTGCAATATGGTTTTTGCTTTGCCCAGAAACTGCCCTTACAAGGGATACAAGTGACCTCCTGGGTACAGACAGGGGCTCTTTCCTAACCATATTCTCCTGTTCTGTTTAATAACTGCCATTTTCTGTGCCTCACTCTTCTTTTTTTCTCTCTGTGTCCAATACTTTCTGGGACTTCATTTAGTCCATGGTTTCATAGGTACCAGTCCACTCTTCTGGTTACCCTTTCACTATTTTTTCATTGTCTTCTTATTCTCTCCTCTCCCTCTGTTTGGTGGTGTCTTTAAGCATTGTGTCCATTACCTCCTCAGTTTTTGTAATGTAACCTCTCTTAGGTTGAATTTCCACCCCTACCTGACCTCTAATCCTTCATGCTATCTGACCTACCCAGTGACATCCTGAAGTTAGTGTCTCCAGTATTTAATTCCCTTTCTCCTTTTAATTATTGTGTTGCCCTGGAGGGTCAGGCCAATTCTCAGGATCTCAATATTGCACTGTTAGACAGGAGGGTGTGACACAATTGCACATATACAAAATACACAGAAATCAATTAGATGCATACACACACACACACTACCAGCTCAGGCACATGCACATTCAAACCACCCTAGGCACATCCATACCTATTACCAATTCAAGCACATACACTATACACCCCAAAAGTAAGACACAGATCACTAATTCATATATCATGCACACAATGCCATACACACACACACACACACACACACACACACACGCGCGTGCAACTCAGATACACATACATTCCAAATAACTAGGTTTATGCACACCTATTACCAGTTTAAGCCCATACACGCTACGCACACCAAATTTAGGCAGAATCAGTTACCAGTTACCAACACCTGCACATTCAGTACACATACGTGGATTACTAATTCATATACCACACACACACAATGATATCTATATATGTGTATATATGTGTATTCACTAATTTACACACATACCACCCACCTACACATACACACAAGTGAGTTCCTAAGTTGGGTGTTGTGACGTGTATGTATGCATGTGCTTGGTGTACTCGGGATACCTGGGTAAAGGTTAAGGTAAGAAAGTAGAAGTGTAGTGAGTTAAATTACTGGAAATTAAAGTCACTGGGACCGGGATTAGAACCAGTAGATTAGAGGGGCCTGGGCTGAAGACCTGAGGCTCGGGGGTAACTTTAGGTTAATTGATCTGAATTGATTAAAAGACAATGCCCAAAGCCTGCAGAACGGGGAAGCACGCTGACACAGAACCTAGGACTGGAGCCAGAGCTAAGGAGAAGCTGAAAATGTAGGTGGGAAGAGGGGAAAATGGGATTATGAGAAAGTGTGGGTGTTAAAGAGGGGCTCTGGGTGTGGGGAGCCAGAGGTTGGATCTGGGGCAGCTAGAGAACTTGTAGAGAGTGGTAGTAGGTGCTGGAAGCTAAAGCAAGGCTCCAGCTGCTGGCTAATAGGAGCTGGGAAGCTGCAGGAAGGCCGGGGGGAGGGTAGGATTAAAGAAGCTGCGGGGGAAGCCTGGAAACAGAGAGATGGACAGCAGAAAATCACAGGAAAAGCAGCAGGCAGCAGGGCAGCGGGAAGGCAGAGAAACGCAGCAGAAAGTCACAGGGAAAAGGCAGTAGGAGCAGGGGAGGCGGAGAGGTGGCAGAAAAGGGGAGATGGAATTGGGAGGAGATCAGGAAACTAGCAGAGAGGGTAGGAACTGGAGTTGATAGAGAGAGAGTGAGAATGTAGCTGGAATTTAAGATAAAGAAGGGACTGGGATTCAGTAAAACATGACCCAACTCAGGGTTGCAAATGACAGTGGTTTCATTGAACAGGGGAGATGGTGACACAATGCCAAATTGGTTCCCTTGCACCCACCCACACACCCACACACACACACACAAACACACACACACACACAGG